AATTAGTATATCAACGAAGATTTTGGCCTCCTCTTATTTCCTAAACCATATTAAAATATATTTCGCAAAATAGTAATTTTAGGAGAGTTGCTATTTTGCGAAATAAACTTTTTTCACCCTGTGGTGACTAACGTGACCTCTTCCATGTCATAAAAATACATTTAAAGATTACAAATTAGTATATCAATGAAGATTTTGGCCTCCTCTTATTTCTTAAACCGTATTAAATTGTATTTTGCAAAATAGTCATTTTAGGAGAGTTACTATTTTGCAAAATGGACTATTTTCACCCTGCGGTGACAACGTGACCTCTTTCATGTCACGAAAATACATTTAAACATTACAAATTAGTATATCACCGAAGGTTTTGGGCTCCTCTTATATCTTAAACTGTATTAAAATATATTTCGCAAAATAGTAATTTTAGGAGAGTTGCTATTTTGTGAAATGGACTGAAAGCTTAGGGTGAAAATAGTACATTTCGCAAAATAGTAACTCTTCTAAAATTACTATTTTGCGAAATGAATAAAAATCCTTCTTGGTAATGAACGATTACTCCAAATTCCTTGTGAAAGTTTTCTTTACCTTGTTAGAAAATTTATCTGCATTATTCCTTTAGTTTTATTCTATCTTACCCGATTTCGTTTTGTTTCATTTCACAAAATAGTATAAGCCGATCAGCAAAGACCTCAAACTGTGATAAGAATGTTACCAACACAATCAGCTACCCATGTGTGCCCCTTTTTGTTCTTACCACATGTTGATGTCACCTGTGATCTATCACTGAACAGATGCACAGTAACATGGAATCTACTTTGTTAAGTAGACTGAAGTATTCTTGAAACACATGTTATCACACAAGAAATACTCACTTTGTGTACTTCCTTCCAGTTTGTTGCTGTGTGGTGTCATGAATTCTTGATTGTTAGTGTTAATCTCCTGGCAGATTGTATGTTGTTGTACTGCTCTTTGAAGATTTTTTTGTGGTAGGGTGACACTGGTGGTAATCTTTACATCAGACTTATTTTGATGTGTAGTTGTGAATTTTTTTGTTTGTAGAGTAGTGCTGCTTTGGAGTGAAGAATGATACACAAAGGAATGGTCCCTTTTTCTTGTGCTTTGTACTTGTAGAATGGGATTATTCTGCAGTCTAAAACATGGGTCCTTTGACCTGGTAATGTCACTCTTGTTTTTTACAAGAGCATTTCCTGTACCACACAAATCCTTTATTTTTTCCTCATTAACATTGAGCATATCAGGTTTTATGTACAACTGTGACACTCTCCTGACAGTTGGAATGGTAACTTGCTGGGATTTTTCAACATCCTCAAGAGCAGTCTGAAGAATGTAGTCATCATCTGTGTCATCGTTAACAAAATCCCAACTCTCTGTAACAATACTATCGATGGTATCTACATTTGCATTAATTCTGTGATTTCTGGTAAGTGGTGGCTGCCCTAACTCATTGTTTTGCTGCATTTCTCCTCCACTGCTCAAGAATTGTGTGCTAGTCATAACTTGTGTTTCTGGAATAGCATTTTTAAAAACAGGAATCTCTATCTGGCTGAGAATCAGATCATCTTCATCAGTGTCCCAGTTCTCAAAGACCTCTAAGCTTTCAGATCCCTTTACTTTTACACCATGATTTACTTCTCCAGTGCCCTTGCTGGCTTTTTGTTGCATTTCACTGCAAGAAAGAGAGGAAAAAGAAATTTTGTGGAGCTGAACTCTAGGCAATAGATTCTCTGAAAAAATGTTATGAGATAAGCTTAATGTACCTCGAATTTTCTGAACTCTCCTTCCTAATTGTAGCTTCCTCTTCTGTAAAGGAAAAACAATTTAATAATAATAATGATAATAATGATAATAATAAAAACAATGATATCAATAATAACAGTACCATTTTAAATGATAATAATAACAACAGCATTATGTGAAACCCCAATAGAAACAACTGCCATAATAGGAAACATTCTGAAAAATAGACTTAATAAAATAAGGTCTTGATAGCCATGCTATACATTCTATTAATGGAGTCTCAGTCCCCATTTTAACCTGTTTTCTCTGCTGGAAGTACAAGAAGTTCCAGGTCCTGTTTCAGAAGTTTCATCTTGGATTTGTTGCATTTCCGAAGAAGTCGTCTACAAAAAAGATATATATTTTATTACCAACTTACAGCAAAACAGGCAGAAATCAAATTAATTTGAATAGTGATACAAAATGACAAGGAAACCAGTTACCTTGATCTCCGGGATGGTGTTTGGAATTCCTTGATCTTCTGCCCACTACTGCTGTCTCCCTTTGTTGAAGTATAACCACTGTTGGCCTGTGCTGATGTGTTGTTTTCTCTGGACATCCACAATGCTAGCAATGGTGGATTTGCTTCAGGGGTACTACCAGACTGACAGAAAAAAAACTCTATAAATTATGGTTTGTATCTTGATAAATGAGTGAAGAGTACTGGTAAAATACCCAGATCATGGGTACCTATACAACCCTTTACACCCTAACAACAGTACATGTATATTCTCCACACTGATCTCTACACATTTCCTAAGTTGCTGACAAGGAGAATTTGTCAAACAGTTGAGAACTTCTTCAGTTAGTGATCATTTTCTTCGATTCTTATGACCTGCATGTTTGGTTTAAATGCAATACTAACATAAAAAGTAACTTTGGTTGATATACAGACCAATAGTTGGCTGATAGGGAGTCAGTGACTACCAAACACTCAGCCAACAATAAGTTGATATCTACATATCCCAAGAGTTAGCTCACATCTCTACCAACGCCTCAATATTGGTTAAATGTCAGTTGACCTTTGACCATCAATTGATTGTCAACCAGAATCTTATCATTAATTAGTTAACATATTACTACTAATGTTACGTAGAGTACATGTGATTCCAAGACTGTAGCTAAAGAAATAAATTAACCTTATCCAAACACATCCCTGTACTCCATTTACCTTATCAGCCAACTTTTGTACCAAATCTGAAATTTCACCCCCACTGCTACTACTGTCACTTCCATGGTGTTTCTTCCTTTTCCCTTTCAAATCAACAGAAAAATTTACTTGAGTACACAGTTTATTTCCTTGAACACATTCACATGAAAAAAATGGATGGGCTTCTCCTTCAATTGCATGACAAAAGGTCCAAACCAATAAAAATTTTAGAAGTCAATGAGCTTTCCTAATGAGTCAGATAGTAGACAGCTGACAATCTGAGAGCCTCTTCCCAAGGTCTTGGGATATTCTCCTTCTTAAAATGTTATTTTTGGAATGTAGAGGTTCTAGAATGTTATTTTATGCAATCTTTTGGAGGTATGTGCTAAGCAATACAGCAGTTGGTTGGCAACATAAACAAGTGTCAGGTACAGATTGAAGGAGTGCTCAACCAGTGAGAAAATGTGACATTGCACTTTTTTTAGGAAAGCAAAAATGACTTTTAGGGAAGTTGTCTGTTCATGAAATTTTCTGTAACATTGACTTGTTTTCATTTTTATTAGCATCCAATCATCAAATTGTAGACAAAAAAAATTGTTACTGAATTTTCTGTAAAAGCTTTCAGATCTGAAAGCAAATTTCACACTAACCCTGGGTTATCTAGTAACCCAGCCACGAACTACCCAGGGCAAGGTTGATATTTCATTTCTATAACATACCCACAACCTAACATACCATGTGAAAATCTTGTAGGAGATGGTGAATTATTGTCCCATACAATCTCTAGAGACTGATCCAACAGTGAGTTATTACAACTGCTGCCTCCGAGGCGACGTGGAGTTCGCCGTAGTCTACTAACAGGAGGAGACCGGTTGAGGGCTGAAAGAAAAAAGACCACGACGTTAAGGTGAACGAACACTCAGTTCACAAACCACACATTCGCTCTGACGACGGTAATCAGATAACGGCGTAATATGTGACAGTCTATGGACTTTGAGATTTTAGGCCACTAACCTAGTCTGTATATGGACGAAGGGCTACCGCTCGAAAAATCAGCTTTAGAAACCCTTTATTGCGACCAATTTATATTATCTACTACGTTAATAAAACCAAATTATCTTAAAAAGCCCCCCTTGTATTCTGCATTCAGTCCATGCACAGCACGACGATACAAATGAAACACTATTCCTTGACTGGGCATGAAAAAACATTCACGCTAGCTACATGCCATTTCAATTCTTTCATCACTATCGCCATTTCATGCCAAACATGCAACGCTGAATCTAAAGCAAATCACATTTTATCGACTGAAGTTCACTGACTGCTAGTTCAAAGGTACAAATCGTTGGATAAAACTTTGAAAAACATTAACAATTCATGTAAAGAATTGCAAGGTTTCCAAATGAACTACCTGAATTGTCGTGAGATCGTCCGGGAGTCTTGTCGATAGATCGTCGCTTCCTCATTGGAAAACACTCCGTAATATTCATAACACCGTCCTGTAGACTTTGAAATCCACCATAACTCCTCAGTGAAGGAACGCAACTTGACTTACGAGCGTGAAAACTCACAAACTCTCAAAAATAATTACAACTTCGTGAAACAAAATATGGCGGCAAATTTTTGAAAGGCCAGCCTCGATTTCACACAGAGCGCCGAGTCGTGGTTGGTCGTCAGGAACACACTTGGGAAAGCGTGATCACGCGCGGATATCGCGCGATTCTAAACGATGCTTCATAAACTGCGTTTCATTCGGGAATGGGAGGGACACGGGGGAGGGAAGAATGGCGAAGGATCCAAAATGTGTAAATGTAAAATGTCTGAACTCTTGGGGTACACATTTAAATTGTCTTTTGAACTTAAAACAGATAGGGCAAAAAAAAAATGGAAAGTGTTCAACTGATCAGATCTCATCAATGACAGATCAACTCTCATAATTCACATTATGTAAAGTTTTTTTGCATTCCCCTCTCCATTTTTTTCCCCATTCATGCAAGCTAAACAGATCATAGTAGCAAACATGTGTGAACAGAGAAAAACCTCACACTCGTAATCTTTGATGAATAATAATTTATTAGGGGACGAGTTGTTCAATAAAATACTGAACAGTGAATGGGAGACTTAACCAACGGTGTGGGAATATTTTTACTGACACAAAGCATCTTAAGTATTGAAAAAAAAAAATTGACAAAAATCATAATTAAGTACCATAGATGTAAAAAAGTTGGTTCTCAATCCACAGTAAGACAAAAGATACATCAGGGAGCAATTCTAAATTTGAAAATTAATGTTCATTTATTGTATCCCTTCCCTGATTTTCTTTATTGCTTCATAAAACAAAAGGAATCAGAGCTTTACGCGACTTTGGATAATCTTCAAACTTTGTAAGATACCAGCTGTAAGAAAGAAAGTTAAAACAAAAATTATCACAAGGCTGTTGTAAACAAAGACAAACAACACAATAACTACATAGAATAACCAATCATTAACACTACAGGCTGACATGTAAATCAACACAGTCACTTAGTTGGTTGGTCAATCGCTCAATCAGCCAACTGGTGAATCAATTCAATCTTGAGGGATTGATCTCCGAAACTTTGTGGGGATTTTCCAACTTTCTTATTGGTTTCTTTGCAATTTATCTGTCAAGTTTGCTAACCAAAATGTTTTTCCCAATATGCATTACCCAGGCGCCATTGTGGGAGATCCATTTTGAAACACGGAATTCCCCCACATGGTTTTTTAGGTTGGTATCTTGGGAGTCTTTGTACCAAATTTCAAGGCAACTTGTATAGTTTACTTTTCTATTTATTCAAAGGAGGCATATTTGCATAATTTGAACCTGGTGTTTTTTGCATCCAAACTTTTCCCAACAATTCACTCCTTTGGGTGACCACATGTCAAGTTATGTTAAAACTCTGAAAACTCGAAATGCCTTCCTCCAATAGAGACACAGAAGCCTCCTGCAGAGTCTCAGGAGACTCTCAACAAAAAACATATTTTGCCGGTAACTATCTAACAGTACCCTTGACAGACTTTTTGTTCAATTCTGCTGGATGGCAATTTTGCTTTCCACACTTTTTTTTCAACTCAAAAGCTGATTAAGCACACTGTGGCAAAACTTAATGTTTGCCTATTGAGTGAAAGCAGCAAAGATTGCCTAAATGACCAGCCTTTATCTGTTTCCATCAGATTCTTTTAACATTCCTAAAAACATAAACTTTTGGGCATTAAGATGACAAAAACTGGAAAAAGAACAACAAGACAGTCTGGACCACAAAATGTTTATAACATTGTTTATCAAACCCATAAATAAAGAATACATCTGAAATACAAATGGTGTCAGTATTCCCTTTTTGAAAATAATAAGAACCAACAGAGGAAATAAATGCAAAACTACTATCTTGATACACATGTGATACCTGTGATGTTGAACTGCTCTTGGGCCGATGTTAAAAGCAGTAAACAAGAAGAAGGCTAAGCTTGGAAGTGACCAACAGGCTAAAGCAAAGCCAGCCCATTCAACTATCTCACCAAAAAAATTGGCTCCTGACACATAGGTGAACATACCACCTGGAAGATAGAAATTACATTTATATATGAAATAATCAGATTTGGATACAAAGAGAAAAAAAAATGCTGCAATGTGAAAAGAAATGTCTTGATTTGCAAGACTTGCAGTTCACCAGTACCAACTGTGAAAGATTCTTTAAGGTGAAATACGACTGTACCCAAGCCACATAGAATCTATATTTATTTATATATTAAAATAGCAAATTGCTGTTAATGGTGACATCAACTATGTATCTGTCCAGTAAATCATAAGTATGAATCAATCAAAATGGGTGTATAATTCAGCTTTTCATATAATACCTCTTGGAATGTTGTACCCTGTTTCACCAGGTCTCCTTAAGTTGCGCAGAACGTGATCTGAATGGATGTTGATGGCCATCCCCATGAAAAATATCGCTACACCACAAACAAAGCGGGGACTTGATAAGTAAGACATTTCGTATCGAGCAAATTTTGTTAAATATCTTGCCTGCATGTATCCATTTAATACACAAAACATAAATGCCAGAAATGACAGAAAAACAGGAGTCGGTTTCCCTCCTTTGATAAGCCAAGGATAAATGAGTGACCTAGAAAGAAATATTGAAAGGGTGATTGATTTGTCAATTCTCATACACTATCTGATGGTAAATTTACTAAGACTGTAAGGAGAATTTTAGATATCGATCACTGCAGGTTGTCGACAAAGGTCAGGGATTATCACCGGTAGAAAGAAACATAGCGGTCGGGACGTATATAGGGCATGCTAACCTTTGAGTGTAATGCAATAAAAACAAAGATAGCAGAGTCATATTGGGAGTCAATCCAAAGACGTCTTTGCGTGCATACAACAGCAGCAGACATGGAACGACGAAGGCTGGTAGTTCTTGCACAAACCATGCAACTCTTGCATCTACTGCAAAGCCGTACTTCCGTGTTGAATTCGAAGAAAAGTACCTTCCATATTCGGCTTTAAGAAAGATAAGACTGAATGCAACAATCACCCCCGTTACTATCATTATCTTTGAAAGAATGAAGATGAATTGGAGTTCTTCCAGCCCTCTTGCAAAGTCGAAGAAGGAAGCCATATTCTTATGCAACCAAGAAAATGTCTCTATTACGATGATCTGGGAACGAGGAAATCGCCTGGTTACTAAGTTTTGAGTTTTGCATCATGGCGGGAATATTAGTTTGATTTACGAGATTCTAAACTACATTTTAACCATGAAGCAAGAGATTTATCAACAGATATTATCCATGATGCATACTTATGGTTCAAGGGACTGTTTGAAAACCATTGCTTTGCAGTTCCCGGGGTATGTAGGTCGTTTAGTAACCAATTAAATAAACGTCATACGCAAGGTCACCGTATCGGCTAAATAAAAACCCTGAACGATGTACAAAATGCCTTAGTGCTATGCATCGAATGAGCAATTGTTGAATGAGATTAGGCATTTCATACGCACAAAATCTTTTAAAAAACCCGTAATAATTAATACACACCACTTTAATTACACTCTAATTTCTGCTTCTTCTTTCTTTTAGTGTGACATATAACACACTAGTTAGTATATACTCACAAGATTATCAGGTAAGTCTTATGACAAAAGAGTATTTATCCCTGAAAAAGTAGGCCTTTAACTGGTACCTATGTGTTGTGAGAAAGAAAACATGACTGTCACGTAGTTTTTGTGCAGCTGAAACATTTAACCTATTTAAGATATCTATAACACTGTAATACATTGCAAAGTGTGATCGACATCCTCAGGCGTTAATTCAAGATCAGGCTAATATCCAGCTTTTTCACTAGAATGTATTTTCAGAGATTGATGACTGGAAGCGTGCTAACCTTGTGCTTTAATGCTATGAGATTTATTTCATTTTGCTTCTTTGTTATTTAAGAACTCAAAAGTATGTCCTAGTTGCAAGAGAGTGATTTTTCTTAAGTACCATTGAGTTGCAATTTGCGTGTGGATTGATCTTTGTAGTGCATAAGCTGAAGTGTAAAGCAATGCTGTCACTGGGTAGCTGTTTAGTATTATCACTTGGTTTGGCGTTGTGGCACATTTTACAGACTAAAATGGAGCACACTTGCAAGCTTGCATGATCATTCAGGCTTTTGTTTTGTCATTTTTTCAGTTGTTATTTTCTCTAAGTCCTCCAAAGTGATATATTAAAGATACAGTTTGTGTCCATGGCATAAATATGTTTTGGGCTCTTATCAAACTCATTTTAACCCTCACTTGTCAGCTCAGGCTAAAATGACTATGAGTTGGGCCCAAAATATATTTATTCCTGGGAACATAAACTTTATTATTTTAATGTGACTTGTTTCAAACATCAATTGGCATTTAGGATATTTTTTCCATCTCTTTTACCTGTTTTTTAAATTTTTTGCCTGGATGTTTATTTTTGCTGTTGTTTACCTTAACAGAAAAAGACAAGAAAAAATCACCACAAACACCACAAGCCAGAAGTGATGGAGGCCTACTACAAGAGGTGAGGATAAAGACATTTTATAGCACATACTAATCACAATTTAGCGCAAGATGAAAATAGCTAGCAAAGTTTAAGAGATGCAGTACTTTAAGGACAGCATGATAAGTATAAATATTTTACTTGCAAAGCAACCCAAACAGATTTAAGCTTTTTAAAAGCAGCTTGCTCCCTGAAAAAATTACCACGTCCTTCCTCAAATTGAGTGGTTGCCCTGTGAATTAATTCCACAGGTGTCTCAACCCTTTGAACCCCATAATTGATCAAGATAGTATTTTTCCTTAGAATATTGATACAATATCAGGCAGACAAATGATGAGAATAAATAATGGTAATTGAACTGAGAGGGGTTTAACTTGGTCCAAAATCATATGCCTGATTTCAAATTCAAATGAGCATGCAGCACAAGTTTGATTTAAAGTTATGAGTACGATTTCAGACAATAATTACACTCCACTCAGTTCAATTACCACTTTGAAATTGCAAAAGTTACTCCTCATATACAGGAAATTTTTAGTTTGTTCAAATATTTAATTGATCCAGTGCTGAACTTGTTTTTGTAAATAGTTGCAAAAGCTGTCTTTCATTTTCCTACAATTTGAGTGGTTACTTTAAACAAGCCTTGAAATCTGATTGGTTGTTGTGTTTTAGTAAAGCTTTCCTATTGGCTTGGGAAAATGCAATTTAGAGCCAATAATGGTGTGATTTGTTAATAAATCAAACCAATAAGGGCCAATCAGATTATAAGGATCACTGTTGATTTCAAAATGGATGTAATAAAGAGTGATATCAGGAGATAATGAGATGTGGGAGTGAAAGAGCAAAGAAAAATATGGCAAAAGAGCCATCTACTTGCTTCTGCATCTGTAATCAAGGAAGCTTTTTTATCCAAAGCTTTCTGACATGCCTGGCTCTTCTTAAATTAATTTCCACCCTCAGTTTGATATCTGGAAAAGTATGGTGCCTAACCTAATCTTGTCTGAGGCATCAGATATTGTCTCATTTTGAACTTCACTTTTCTCTAAAACTTTTCAATTGTTAGATACTTGTCTGGTGTATCTCAGGACTCAGGAGAGCCTGTATTGTTAAGGATTGCTGAAGAGGTAAAGGTACCTATATCAGACTATGCAATCATATAAAATTAGGTCTTTAACCTTAAGAGTGATTAGCATCTAATTTCTTCTTGCAATATCACCCTTGAATCACATTCAAGGTCATGAGAATAAAGGAAATGATCAACAACTGAAGTAGCTGGTGATTGTTAAGCAAAGAGGTGTGAGACCTTGGCAGGTCATTGTGTTGTTTACTCTCACAAAACCTCTCCCCACCCAGGAGTATAAATCTGTCACCATGAATTGTCAGGGAAGCCTGATGAAATGCTAGGAGGTGATCTGGCAATGGACAGGCCTTTGATCCAGGGGCAAATAGTAATACTCCTTGTTGCTTTGTGCCAAGAAGCTGGAATAAGTTTCAGCTGGGTAGTCCACTGGGCTGGAGTGCAGACTTTAGCTACCTTACCTACCCGTTCTCATTTCAGAATAGAAAGATAAGACAGATGGTACAAAGAGGGTACTTTGTAAAGGAAAAAACATGATTTCGAGTGAAATGTGGTGTTAATAAGCACAAGCAAGGTTTTCAAGGACAACAAAATTGCACGAACCCGTAGTACTCTTTGGAAAGTTTATAAGTGCTTATTTACACCAAATTGCACCGGAAATCATGTTGTTACTTGTTAATAATTTACTTGAAAAAAAGCACCACAAAAAGTCAAGACGGACGAAACTTTGGCAGCGCGCGCTATTTGCAATTTGCAATCGTGTTGCAACTTTGCACTCGTGTTACATGAAAAATATACTTGTTTTCAGCCAATCAGGCGCGCGTGATTTTTTATGTTCATTATTACACTAAGAACAGCACACAAGGGAAAGCCTCTAGTTACGTCCTTCTCACGTCTTTTGTTGTCAGTGTTATTATTCCCTGAAGAGCTTGAGCCTTGTTTTTTCAAATCATCAGGTTGATTTATCCCATTCTCTTCTGGCAAGAATAGTACTTGTAAGGCATCTTTCTCACACTTGTTACGAGGAACAAAATCGTAAGTGTGGCATGTTTGTTTCTGACGGTAAATAAATCCTATTAACTCTTGATCCCTAAGAGTGACTAGCGTCTAATATCTCCTTACGATAAAGGAAATCATTAATAACTAAAAAAGCTCTTGATTGTTAGACAAGTTCTTCTTGTAAGCACCTTAGAAAATGTATGCAGAACAGTATGGAGAAGATGAATACTGATGTGAGAGTGTGAATGGTTAATGAAGCCCCTCACGGACATCAAGATCAAAGTTTCTTGGGCACCTGGAATTTTAGTCATGGGAAAGTTTAATTTTTTCTTTTTTATCTTAGCTCCAAAAGGTGTTGTAAGCCAGATGATGAAAGATCCTCTGTCCCTCATAGAGGACAAGACATTAGCTAACGAGGTGCACCAGGTAAGATGCCATAAAAAATTCACAGCGGTCAAATGTCGGGTATGCGCGAGGGGATCAATTCTGGTCGGCCGCGCGCCAATTTCCCGCGCAAAATTCAAAGGAAGACATAAGAAAAAATCACTGTCTCCCCAAATAAGCGAAGGAAAATTGAAACGTTCACAGAGATCAGTCAAAGAAACAAATTAGTGAAAAGGAAAACTCAAGACAAAGCTTTTTCAAGTATTTGGCGATAACACCTCTGACGAAGGGCTAACAGTCGACGAGTCAGCTTTGGAAACTCTCTACGGTGTCCAATTTACATTATCAAGTCTGTTGATTAAACCACATCTTTGTATACTCCCCCCAACGAAGCAGCACCATAGTTTCTTAAGAAACTTAACCCCTTTTATTCATTCGCAAGATTATTTAGTTACACATATACTACTGCCAGTGTGTTGAAATCACGTAGAATTACACTTTGAACAAAGACTAAACAACATATTTACAGTATTCCTTTCGTTTTTTTTTTTTTCAGTGTATATTGAATGATCCAAACTACGGGCCCTTGGCGGACAACATTAAACGGTATCCTTAAAATGTAAGGAGACAAAAAAAAAAGCTAGAATAGAAGATAGCATTCGAATTTGGCTTGCTAGGAACATAAAGAGATTTGAATGTCAAATATTCAGAGTACGTAAGTTTCAGTCTTCGTTGGGGATAAGATTTTTAAGTTGTTGAGATTGTTGAGCCATTTTCTCGTCGAAAAAAAAAGGCAAAAACAAAAACAAACAAAGTGTATAGTCCAAATATTAGGCGGTTATTTTATATAGACTACGAGCAATCCCTCCACTTTGGCGAAGTCCGTCGCACAAGTAAAGAAAAATCGGTAAAAAAAAAAAAACAACAACAACAGTTTAGCGTACCGCGCGGAACGCTGGGAGTGAGGCGCGGAAAAGTCGTCTAATAATCTCGGAATGCGACTGCGACGTCGTCACTCTCCTTTTTCGGCGCATAAGGCGGTTTGCTTGTTTTTGCTTTAAGCTCCCATTTGCTCTTTGTAATAAAGGGGATAAATTTCTAAAGAAACTGTGGTGCTGCGTCGGTGGGAGATTATAGCAGGATAATTAGTATTATCAACTGAGTTGGTAACGTAAATTTGCCACCGTTAAGAGTTTATTCAGAGCCAACGCTCGAAACGTCAGCTTTGAAACTCTTTACGGTGGCCAATTTACGTTATCAATTCAGTTGATAATACTAAAGTACCCTGTTATGCTCTTTGTAATAGTTGCCTTGTTCTGATTTTCTGTCTGTGGGATTGGCTTTGGTTTTACGACACTCGTTTCGAATGCGTCAGAGATGCGGTCTAGAAAGGTGTATTGCATGGAGTTTCCCTTAATTTATTGACAGTTCTGTTGGTTACGAGTATGAGTTCATTCTACGAGAGAGACTTAAAAATCGAGGCATTCCATTCCTTGGTGAGTGATAGATTAGCTTTAAGGTGTAAATATTGAATGTGCAGAAATGTAAATGGGTACAGATTTACAAAGTATCACTGATGGTACAAGAGGAGCTGGGATGGCGCACAGCGGCCTGGGTTCGATTCCCGGACCTGGTGTCACATGTGGGTTGAGTTTGTTGTTAGTTCTCGTCCTTGCTCAAAGGATTCAAGTTTCTCTGAGTCTTCTGGTTTTCCTCCCTCCGCAGAAAAAAAACAAACAAACAAACAAGCAAAAAACAAAAAAACAATCCAAATTCGACCTGGAAGAAGAGGACAAGAAGAACCACCTCGTGGAATGGCCGCTGCTAAATTCTCATTCCCCTTCCCATTATTCCCGTTGTTTTCAGAGTTGTGTGTACCAACTCCGCTTCCTCGTCGATTCAAATGGTAGAACGGCGTGCAACCATAAAGGAGGTCGAGGGCTTGGGCCTGAGACCAGACCTGCACCAAGGGTCTAAGGACTTAAATGACCGAGGTGAATTTATTGCAAATTATCTGACATTCAATTCTTCCCTGGTAAGGACCCCAAACCGAGCTGTCGTCTCCTGTACTTTCGCTGTTATGGCCTGCCCACTACAAACAGTAGAACACCAAGTGCTTGGTGATGTGATATGTCCTCTTTTCACGGGGGTTGCACAGAAAATATTTTTTGTGCCTCTGCCCCTTAAAAATATTAGTAAAAGAAAGCTTGCAATAAATCAAAAAGTAAATTAAAAAACATCGTTCTTTTTACAACAACCCCAATTTCATCAAGTGCCGGTGCATTCTGCCGGTCTCTGGATATTCTTCGTAGTCTTCTTTGGAATGTCACACAACACTCCTTCTCGAGTTACGTTGTGTGAGTTATCATAGAGAGAGAGACTGATTTTCTGGTAATTTCCTCTTGTCGCTTCTTAGGTGAAGATGACTTGAGAAGTCGTGGATACGACAAAACACCAGACTGCAAACTGGAAATTCCCATCGGTACGTTTTCTCCCTTCCTGGAAATAATTTTGGGCCGGACTAGGTCACCGTTTGAACGTATTGAAAAATTTCGCCGGAAGTTTTCAAGTTTGTCCTTCGCCATCTGCATGAATCCTTTCCATCTTTGACCATCCATGTTTTCTTTAGGTTTATTTACAAGTTTTTGTGTTTTCCTTCCTCGACAAACTTTTATTTACAGGCTTCATTCCAGTTTTTGTCGTCTTTCAACGACCCTTACTTAATAACATGAACATGTCTTTGTTTCAAATATATTAAAGTTCGTAGCCAAAACTTTACTCAGGAGGGCTGACTATCTACTATCTTCACCTGATTCGAAGGCTGAGGAGAGGAAATGTGTTTCTAATGTCCTAAAGGCGAATGGCTATACCAAAACTTTTCTCCGTAACTGCCGAAGACCAGTTACAACTAGTAGCACTCCTGATGAGAGGGAACCAGCCACTGGTTTTGCTGTTATTCCCTACATTCAGGGTGTTACGGAACCCATCAAGAGAATTTTGAATAGCCACAACGTTAAAGTTGCTCAAAATATTTTCAGGGGCATATTTTTACCAAACCTAAGGATCCTGTCACGAAAGAACAACGAACTGACGCTATTTATTCTATTCCTTGCAATCGGACAGACCAAACGTCAGTTTGGTACATATTTGAAAGAGCGTCAAAAAGCGGTCTTCTTTTGCAAAAAAAGAAAATTCAGCTTTATCGGAGCACACATGGCTAACCAACCATACAATTGGGTGGTTAATTATCACCACTAATCGGTGTTACCACCAGCACCTTTGTTTGGAAGCCTGGCATATTAACTCCGCCCACGCTCCTTTACATCGTGATGATGGCGGCTTACTTCCTGACGCCTATTTACACCTCATGAGAAAAAAGATCAGCTAATTAGTAAGCGCACTAGACAGGAGTGTCAAACGTTGGGTCCATGAATTAATCTTTTCGGTTATATTCACGAAATCTTTAAACCAGAGTAGCATCAAACCATGTCTGATGTCTTTGTTTCGTATGAGCGCGTTTCGATTTAGTGTGTGCCGTGAAACCAAAACCAAAATAATCACAAAGGTCGATCACAGCGAAGGAAAATGCCCATTAATCCAATGAGAACCCAGGCAAGTAAATTTCCCAAAGTGCTGAGAAACACGATCGATTAAAGTTCCGATTGGTGTTAGTTTTCCATCTGATTGGTTGAGGCAATGGCGCGATAATTCACGTTACTCTCCTTCTGCCTTTATCCACCCAGTGGTATCACGGGATACCTGGACTGGACGAGCATCCAGTCCAAGCAATAGCAATTCTTTAAATTGCTTAATGCTTCATAATGCTACAGCTGCATGCTCCTTGCGAATGAATATGAAAGCAAATACAAGCATTTGGATTAAGAGAAATTTAACGTGGAAACCTTTCTATTGGCGATGGCCCGGTCATGACCTAGGGATGTCTATCTCAGAAATCCAGCTGATTGTATCTGTGCTATTTTCAAGATAATTTGATTTTAGTGGACAGCATTGAAGGCGCGCTCTGACTGGCTTTAAAACTCCGAATGTTCTTTGCCATTCACCTCCGTTTCAGGAATAAACAATTGAAATCATTTTTTGTGCTGTATTATCTCACTTTTTTAGAATGTAGTAAAACAACTATTGACCTCAGTGTCGGTGGGTAGCGCCACCTTCACGTCGGTGAATAGTTGTTAATTATCAACTTAGTTGATAATGTAAATTGGTCACCGTAAAGAGTTTCTAAAGCATTGTTTCTTTGGAAATTTACCCCCTTTATTCATGTGTTATTTTCAGCTGTAGACGGTTGCGTGGTTAATTGGATTGAAAGCAAAGCTTCATTCGGCGATGAGTACAATCACCAGACGAATTTGAAAGATCAGTTTTGGAGTTACTGGAACAGGTAAAGCGATGAACTTTAGAAGCTTTGCGTCATAATCTTTCACTGGTTTTTGTTTGTGTTTTTTTTTGGCCTAGCGCCATTTTATCTCCACTTAAGAAGGAACGCACGCAAAGTGAAAACCTAGGAGGATAGGATAATCCCAAAAGACTAAAGAAGACACTGGACTAGCGTAACGCGCACGCTCAAACATTTTTAAAACATTTAGATCTATGAATTCGCCCGCATGTGGCGTACAAGATTATAACGTGTGCGAATGGCAGGTTTTATTGTTTTCATCTCCAAGGACCAGGAGTTTCAATAAAAGCAGGTTACAGGTGGTCCACCGCTGACCGTACGACCTCTCACTGCTGTCTATCCAGCTTGCCAACGCCCCCCTTGTATGGGCAAAGCCGTTTAATTACTCCATCGGCAGCCTCTAATCGTTAACTGAAAATAGTTGAAACTCCCGAAGGACCTCGTGCTGATTGATAGCCCTCGTGTTTTCAGCTCTCCTTATACGTTCTTCCAAGTGGAGTTGGGAGTATGCAATACGAATTCAATTGGGGGAAAAATTGAAACACATTGTAAATGGCAGACCTAAAACTTGTAGATCAAACTTTTCATTGTTCCTACTGCGGCTCAGTAATGATAAACTACGCACAGTCCCTCCTTTCGCAGTTTCTCCCTTCCTTCGCATGATTAAAAAGAAATCAGTGAAAAAAAAAAGGTTGATGTTAGCTTGCTGCGCGGAACTCTAGGAGTGAGGCGCACCAAAAGTAAGTGTTCCAGAGTTCCACGCAGCGCCCTAACCTAATTTTTTTTTTGCTGAAGTTTTTTGACTCGCACAACAGATTTCTCCGAAAAGAAGAGACTGCTCGTAGTCTATAGTGATTAGAAATTATGCGCTTGGTTTCATGTCGCAGATTTGGTCCAGGCCTGGTGATTTACTGGTTTGGATTCATCGATGAACTCGATTGTAACCGAGAGCGTGGAATTATCTTAAAAGACGACTTCCCTACAGATATCATAACGCTAGAATCCCTTTTGGAAACTTCCTGAATAAACCAAACTGTATGAGGCAAGAAGAAATCTTTATGGACTGGAAAGACGGAGGTGAACCAACAAAAATTTCTGATTTTGGACGCAGGATTTGTTAGCGCACGTCTCGTGCGCATAAATCAGGACTCGATAGCGAAAGCGCGATGCGTGCTCCATGCTTCAATTTCCTTGTGGGTTTTAAGCTGTATCACTGAGCTGCAACAAAACTGGCGTAGTACTTCTCTAACTTCAGCAGATTAAGTCACACAACTCTCGTGGTCCAGAGTTGTTGGAGCGCGTCCTGGTCTGTGTAAAATGAAACAGTTATGCATGTTGATGCTCTTCCTGGACAAGATGGAGAGTTATAAAATTTCCCTTACAGTGTTCTGGTACGCACCTATGCTGGGTGGAGACAGGCATTGTGAATCTAATTTATCTTTTACAAGAGCACAACACAATGAGCTCGCTAGAGGTCTACCCGACCCTGTTGCTCACGAGTGACTGGCATTTAATTTTCCCTTACATTATCCTGCTGAATCACACTTTAAGGCCATAAGAATAAAGGAAATGATCACCAACTGTTGAACGTCTTGTTGTGTAACAAATTCTTCATGTCAACATCACAGCAAATGTAGATAGAACAGTATGCGCAATGTGCATATCGATGTTAGGGTGTAAAGGGTTAAATCTCAGGGGAGCAGGGATGGTGCTAGGCTTAGCTACAAAATTCCTGAGTTTTTTTGGGAATTTAAGACGTCAAAAAGATTTTTAGAAACTCTCGAGAATTTTAGAAAAAAATTGACAATTTCGAGAATTTTTAGAGCAATCTGAACTTTCACCTGACATTTTGGAAACTTTTCACAGGCAAACATGTTTACAAAACGTTTTTGTTTGTATTCCAACCCACCAGGAGAGGGGTCAGTCCGTACATATTCCTCATCAGCGGCTATTCACCAAATAGGGTCCTACAGTGCATCTAAGCAGCGGTTTGTCACCGTAGTTTCGGAATCCGGATCTTTGTTTGATAGCAAATACTTTGCAAATTCTTATGAGGAATGTGAGCCATCTACTAGCTTAGCAGAAGCGAGAGAGAACCAAGTTGTTTCACTGCTAGACCGTCTTAGACCACCCGATAGTAATGATTTATCGAGAAAGAGAAAAATCAATGTAAACAGACGCGGAAAAGGAGGGAATCGACGAAGTGTTTCTAGGAACGAGAAGCCTAATTACGCACCACAGGTCTCAGCCAACAAATGACTTGAAGAGTTCAGTAAGGAGTCTTGGCTAGCAATATCGTTCTCTTCTGTCAGGCTTGTTAAGAAGAAATCTTTGTGAAGAAATCAGTTATTAAAGGCCATATCGCGAGTAAAAAGTACAGTGCAAATAAAGAAAAGCTTGCCAAAGCAAAGAAAAGGGAAATGGACATTGCTGAGGTGTTGGACAAGTTTGACAAAGAACACCATCCAAGGGGAGAAACGCTACCCACGGGTACTAGAGTATATCGAGTAAAGATTGTACAAGCCTTCTTGAAGAGTGGGACTCCCCTTAACAGTACAGTGGTACAACTATGGGCTCCATCAATGTCTCCAGCCTGCGTTTACATATTTCCCTAACACCATGAGAACTGATCTAACCGTGTCGCAGTCTATGGCTCTCGTCAAAGCTGCACAGCTCTTCAGTCCAAGATGCATCAAGATATCAAGGCCAACTGCCATCGATGTCGACTGGCTGAGGGTTGTGCCGTTCCTGAGTTCGAATGATGTAATACAATCTCTGAAGGATGAGCTCCCAGATTACATTGCAAAGGCCAATTATACACCTGATGTCTTTGACGACTTGACTGACACGCTGCCTTGGTGGAAAGCTACCGCGCAGGATCTACCATGTTGAGCTGCTGCTTTGCAGAAGATGGTTTTCGTTCAACCGTCATCAGCTGCGGCAGAGCGGGTTTTTTCTATGCTGGTCACCATGTTTGGGGACCAGCAGCATGAGGCCCTCGAAGATTATCTTGAGGCAGCCTTGATGCTACGTATAAATAGTCGCTAGTTTGGAGGCTAAAGCAACATATTGATAGTTTTGTATTTTGTTGATTTGGAAAGCAGCACAACGGAAATACTTTGCGGAAATTGTTCTTGTTATTATTAAAGTGACTGATTAGGAGCTGGTTAGAGTCTCAGAGACAGATTCGGTGTGAAGGTTTTACCTTGAAGTCTTGTACGCTATTTTTTCATGTCGATTCAAGAGAAAGTTTACATAGGATATTCGTTTAAAAAAATATATCAATACACATATAGGCAAACGTTAATTGATGTTTTTGCAACTTTTAAACAATGACAATAAATGATGTTTTACGATTAACAACTCGTTGTTTCTTGTTATATCGCTATAAGAAACGAAATTTATAAGAATTTTCGGGAATTTTTAGAGAGTTTTTGGAGAATTTTAGACATTTCTAAGAGAATTTTAGAGCTTTTGTTTGAGAAATTCCGGAAAGAATTTTAGACGATTTTTCGGGAATTATGTAGCTAAGCCTAGATGGTGCAGTAGTGAGAGCCCTCGCCTCCCACCACTGTGGCCTGGGTTCGATTCCCGGACTTTGTGTCACACGTGGGTTGATTTTGTTGTTAGTTCTCGTCCATGCTTCGAGGGTTTTTCTCAGTGTTCTCCGGTTTTCCTCCCTCTACACAAGCCAACATTTTAATTTCCAATTCGATCTGGAAGTAGTGGTCAAGAAGAGCCTCCTAATGGAATTCCCATTGTGAAATTCCTATTTCGTATTTATTTATTACTAAATCTCTTGGCGATCTCATCACGCTACACACGCCGTCCTCCTCCTTTCGATGTGGGAAACCTTTCGTTAAGTCGATTTTTTAGCCCAATCCTAGACTATAACATGTTTCCCAAAAAGGTTTTATTTTTCTTCAACATTTTTAATTAACAACAGCAACAAAAGTAATAATAATGACAAAACAAAACAAGAAAATTATAGTAAAGATCCTTGCGCTAATATATTTCGACTTAACTCAGAAATTTCTCTTAATTTACAAACACATGTTAGTGTACACTTTTTACAATTAAAAAAATAACTTTAAAACTCGAGTCACAGTTTTATCCGTATTACTTTACAATTTTTAACTTAAAAAGGACGCGATGACCTGTCAAAGAATATCTCACTTGAATCGTTACTGTTAGGGTAAACAGAGAAAGACTCTGTCATCAGAATCTGTTTTCCTGCGTTAACTTGCCTCTACTATACTCTTTCGCGCTCTCAGTCTTACTCGTTTACCTCTGCTTGCTGTGTTCCTGCTCGTTTGTGATGTTTCATCTCGACCCATGTTCCTCTCGGCAACTCTAGCTTTGTAACCTTGAAATGTTTCGTTGGGTCTTAGTAGCAAAGGTACATACTGGACTTCTTGCGGGAGCCCTGATTCGTTTGGGTCATTCGAAGGTGATGGCATGGTCCGTTTCTCTACCAGGACGTAGAAGCCTTTGGATGCGAGGTACTTACTCGCGTAATCGTTTTTGTGGCTGCTGAGATCTAAGACAAGACCTGGTAAAAATAGAGAGCAAGAAAAGATTGTTAGACGTTTTTAGGAAACACAGAGGGGTGGACATTGGGAAACACTGTGAAACAGATGTTGATGTTTTGTACACGGAAGATTCGTCAACATAAATTAGAAAAATTTCAGAGTTCAATGAAAGCAGTTTTCAATTGAGTATCAAACATGACTCTGGATTGTTTCGGTTTTTCTTTACTTTGCTCTGTGATTGGCCCAGATAAACTTGTGCCACCATCTCAACCAATCAAATATAAGACTAAAACCAATCCTATCTTCGTCACTCGCGTTTCCCGCGCTTCAAGCAGGTTGCCAGTTTTAACTTGAGTTCTCATTGATGTTAACCTTTGTTCTGATTGATTGCTGCGATTACTTGGGTTTTGGTTTTGGGACACCCAATTGCCCTGATTAATTCCAGCCCTTTGAAAAAACTGTATTCGCATGTGATTTTTTCTCGCCAAAAAAATACAAAGAGCAGTGATGTCAGCGGTGTTGTTTATAACTTATAACCTACACTCTCAAATATATTGTTGGAAGACTTACTGGCTCCCCGGCCCCTCTCGAAATGAGAAGAAGGGGCGAAAGAACCACATGAACGTCGTTTTGGACAAGTTTCCTCTTTAATTATGTCTGGGAGTGTACGTCACAATTAAGCTTCTGGATTGGGCAAGAGGCCTAAATCGTGGAAATAAAGTTTCCTTTTTCAAAAATTTTCTCGCGTATTTTGGACGGAGTCATATCTGCGGCTAATTTTTAATTGTCTTTCGTTTGACTCTTTGTAAAGGCTCATTCCATGAACGCATTAAGAGTTAATTTTTTATTAAAGCTGTGTTTCGATAGGTGCGTACGTCCATGCTTGTGAGTTGTAAACGCGCGGCGAATTCTTCTTATCTTGCCTTTTAAGAATACTTCACTGGAAGCCATCATGTTAATTTATGCGTTTAGTCTGAAGCTTTTAATTGCCACTTCTACAATTCGCCGATATTAGCCAAAGCCATTAACAGTTAATTGCTAAGTCTGCTTTTTGTCGCTGAAAGTGCCGTGGGAAATAATTGGTTATTTGTTCAGATAATCTGGGATTTTGTCTTCTTTGCATAGATAATCCCTTCTTTCGCGCATCGTGTATTCGGTTAGCGTTTATTGTGATTACAGAAAAATTATTGAGCAAACAGTTGAAAGACTGCCAAGCCTATTGCACTGACGAAGGAAAATATAATTAGCTTGACCTGAAGCAGTAATGAAAAGTATTTGTGGCTCTATAGACATTATGAATCACTCAAAATCAAAGCCGGTTGAACTTGCTATTTACGATTTTTCCGCGAACGATATAGGTCTGATTTTGTTAATCTAAATTTCAGCTGGCGTAGAAAGTTTTATTGGAAGTCTAAGTCAAGTTATGAGTATTTCATCTGGTTGTTATTTGTTTGTTTGTTTGTTTTTTTTTGCACTGTTGTTTTCCGATGTTAAGTATGATAGTTCGTGAACACTGACTGAAGCCCAATGGGTAAAATTACACGTCTCCATAGCAATTTTATGGGTCTGCGAAGATCTTGTCTCAGAAAATAAACAAGATTTACCATCCCTTTTAATGAAGAATAGGTTTAGTGCCCGTGCCAGACGCTTCAGATCGTCTCTTGGTAGGAAAAAAAAAGCAAAGTGGTTTTATAGCTTGTTAATTTTCAGGTTGATGGCTCATGAAAATTAGCGGTGTTATTGTGTTGAACCTTCTAATTAACATCTAAAAGCTTCTAAAAACAGAGAGGACAATGACATGTCTACTTAAATTTCCCTAACAAGGAAACCGCAAATTCGTGACATGCTTCAGTAATTGCATTTAAAGCGAAATTCAAAATCTGACATTTATGTTGTCTGTAAAAAACCGTAGAGTCTCTTCGTAATCGATATAGTTCCTTTTAGTTTTCCGCTTCTTCGTCAGTTTTTAAGTTTTTTTGGAAAAAAATTAACAGTTATTCACCGTGACGTCTCTCTAGAACCATTTTTTTCAAGGATCAGAATTGATCTAACGCCAAGGTTATTTTAAAGTCATACTTTTTTGCTCGAATTACCTCACGGATTTCGTTCGAAATGAGCCAGCTTGTTGCAGCTGAAACAAATAAAATTAAACGAACAGATGAAAGTTGAACCAAAGTAAACTTTCGGTTTTGGCGCATTTTCAATCAACTTTCTCGCTGTACTAATCGGAAATATTCATCTAAACGCTTCCTTATTTGAATTTGAATTAAATCAGTCATTCATCATGGATGTCTATCGATGCTTTTAAATCCTCTCTGAATTGCCTTCAACTTGCCGTTTAAGATTGTTTACTGTTAAACCTTCAGCTAAAGCCATTATGATAATTTACCTGTTTCGTCGCTCAAGTCCAGAACTCTATCGCTATCGCCATAACCGCAGCGCTCTTTGATCGAGTTCAGTAGGTTTACCACGGAACAGCTTGGGTTGACCAGCAGCGACTTCTGATCTCCGTAATAAATCGTTACAAACATGTTTGCAGAGCATGCATCGATGTCGTAACGAAGCAAAACAACTTCGTATCAACGCTTAACTTTTTCACAATGTCTTCAGTGTGGAGATCGTGTTATGGTCGCGTAACAAACGCTTCCTGAGTGATGTGCTCTTTTGCTACAGATATGCAGACGATTGATTTCTTATTATATAAAGTACTCGCTTTAATTTTTTTCGCATAAATGGATCTTGTCCCATAGTGACAGGCAGGTGATTAGAAGTATTTTTTTGAAACAATTGGATGATTATGACTCAAATCAGGCACACACTGTTTAATTGCCCGTTACGCATTTATTAGAGAATGGCGAATTTTGATATATGCAAATTTTCAAAGCGAAGCCTTCAAATTTAAAAGGTATTCGTGTCATTTATTCCACGTTAGAAAGCGTAAAAGAACCAGAATTTATTGTCACATCCGTGTGAGACGATCGCCACAACAACTTTTGCATAATTGTCACGCAACGCTCCTTGTACAAACTACTCGTACAAAATTTTTTCCAACCTTAGCTCCAGGGTTAACTAGTTCCACCACTCTGTAGGGGCGGCGAGGATCAAGAGATACCCTGTAAACGAGGATGGATTGTTTCTACGGTAAGAATTGAAATGATCACAACATGTCTCATCAGTCTCAGGTAAAGTAAGTAAAACCTTATAGGCTTGATTAAACGAGTCCTCTAGAATTGCCCCAAGAAAGTGAAAGAAACTGCACATGTTAGACTCGTGCTACTATCTAGATTACAATCCAGGGAAAAGCAGCTTGTTTTTGTCTTTAGAAATACAACCGAATAACTTGCGTTGCAGATGTGATCAGAGAACTGAGATGAGGCACGATAGAAACAAAACAAATGAAGATCACTAATGCATGAAATGAGTCATAATCATAAGGAGGCCATAACACGTGCAAGCTATACATAGCAGAGTGCTTAAAACTAGTAAAGATATTTCTTGGTTTTTTTTGGGGGGGGAGTGGAGGTCTCTACCGTCAGACATATTGATTCTAAGTCAGTTACTTGTTTTAAAACAAGTTTAACCGATTATTTTGAATGAGCTTTAGCTTATTACAAGGAGACGAGTCTCATTGTAAATTTATTCTTTATATTTTTTTCCATCAAAATTTTTCATGTTATTTATACATACATATATATACCTATATTTCATATACATACACCCATTTTAAAAAAAAACGTTGCAATTTGAAAATATGCATTAAACATAAATATATTTTGTTTTCTCATTAAAAATGTGATGAACGAGGCATGCATATTTCACATCAAAGGAACAATATCTTTTTTATCGTTTGAGAGTTACTGTGCATACTAGCGTTGTCTTACACCAGCCTTTGCGTTGTGCCGTCGACGTTCATGACTGAAAATTCTTCAAAATTGAGTTGTTTTTTTAACGTGCGTTTGTTT